TTATGTCTCAGGCACTGAGCGCTCAGGAAGAATGTATCCTGTTTAGAGGTCCCAGGCTGGCTCTGTGTGGTCTAACTGCCCACTTCCACCCACAAGTGCATGCTCTTAGGTTCAACCACTGCAACAGCCGCAGACATGAGGGAGCACCTGCTATTATCGGTGCAAAGTTAGAAGTTCAAGATACAGCAGCAGGCAGGGAAGTCACTGGCCTCTCACTTGAAGTGAAAGAGAAGGCTCAATGTGCATTAGTTGGTTCATTCCTAAGACCCACCTACCAAAAGGCACAATACTATTGGCTCAACTATTTTGTCTGTTTAAGAAGATGGTGTTTATTAACAGAAAGAAGTAAAATTTTCTCCTAACAGAGTTTCTTGGTCAGTACAAAATGAAGTACTGCCAAGGCTACAGAACCAGAATAACTCTTTTACTTTCCCTTTCCCAGAGGAAAGTTAATCCCAGAATACTCCATGGAGAGTTCCCCATCCTGGCTCTCATACTGGTCCTGACATGTAGGCTATAGGATGAAAACCTGCTCAGACCCTGACACAGAGATACACGGATGTGTCACTTACCAACCAGCATATGTGAGAAATGCATTGTCAGCCATTCCAGCATCATTACAGGTTGTAGTTGCAGAAACCCAGATGGTCCAGGCCACTCATTCAGCACGGCCTCTCAGGGCAATCAAGGGACATGGTAACCATGAGCTGGACACTGTTTTTTTGGTTAACTTTTCAGAGTAGAAAATCACTCTAAAATATCAAAGTTTAGCACAGTAAACATATAAACCAGTAGCATAGTAATCTATGATCATTATCAGGAATTATGTATACTTACATAATTGCAGGGACTACACTTTCATATCCCTGGTAGCTCCATGGGTTTGTTTACATCGGTATCACCACAAACACATGAGGAATGAATGCACTGTGCTACGTTATCTCAGTGCTGACTTGTCACCAGGCAATAGGAATTTTTCAGCTCCGTGATCATCTTACACGACTTTCATTGTATATGTGGCACATTACTGACCAAAACATTGTTATGTGGTGCATGGCTGTACTCAGTACAAAGCGATCATTAGTTTGCTCTCCAAAATGCAGTGTTGCTAGGATAGGGAGCGCATGATCAAACAGCCAAGAGTTGGGGTTAAAAAGTTGAAGGCTGTGGGAGATGAGACAAGGGGTGAGGTGGTGGGGAAATGAGGGTTAGTAGCAGAAGACAGGACAGCTCCAAAGCCACACGTTCTGCCCACAGGATGCCTGTCTGAGGCAGGCTTCAGAAGTAAGAGAATGGGCTTGGGGAGGAACAGCAGTGTTGTTAGTGATGAAGGGAACTGTCCACTCTGACAGGAGCAGGGACTTAGCATGGGCTTCTCCTGCCCATGAAAATCAGAAGAGTACAGAAAAAAGCAAGAGTGGAATCTTGCCAAACACACAGAGCAGGAACCAGCCTCAGGCTTCAACAGCAATTTATACAATATCAAGGCAATCTCTTTACTTGGAAGTTCATAATAAATACCTCATAAAAAGAAGTGTTAATAACCCAAACTCTTACAATAAAAAGAGAATTTGGCCATACTGCTTTTTCTTAAATTCAATTTTAATAACTTCAGTGAAAAAAAATTTTAAGAGAGTTGTATCCGATTATGACTGCTTGCAAAACTAGGTGAGCTCAGGCTGCAGCCAGCATAGTAAGGTCTAAATATAAACTAATTCTTGTTTAATTTATGGCTAGGCACGATGCTGGCTACTGATGATCCATTTGTAGAAGTTACATGGAATTTATCTTTGAAGTTCACTAAATTTTTGAATGGAGAACAAATTAAAAATTGTAAGTAAATCAAACCAGGTGCTACCCAGACATAAGAAAGCCCATGAGGAATATGAACCTCAAAATTGTGTGGCAGAGTCCTGACCATCAGTCCAGAAATGGTACTTGCAAACCATCTAGCATTTGTTCAGGAGATGAATGACAGCCACGCTTTGGCTTGGAGGCATTTCCTCACCGTCCTTGCAACAGACACTGTACAGATGAGCACACAGACTTGGATTAAGCAATGTGGAGGCACGCAGAAAACACAGCGGCAGGAATCGGGCTCATATCCATCCTGTCCAAATGCTGCTTTGCTGCCTTCTAGGACACTCCCTCTTTTCCCAGCCAGTTATCACCATTCCCTTTGCAGCAAAGGTGAAGTCTTTTTCTCTAAGCACCTGTTGTCTCTTGGAGTACTCTTCATGCTGGAAACGTCATTCTTACGTCTCGCATTCTTTCCCTCTTAAACTCTTGGTCTGCCCTGAAACTTCACCCAAGCCTCGCCCGCTAGTTCCCATTATTAACCACCAGAGGGCGGCATTGACCTGTCTTTCTTTGTGCTCTTGCTCAATTGACGCCTCCCCAAAAAAAGTCTTGGGGCACCAAGATCCGCCCTACTAATGCCTCAGCCTGATTTCCACGAAGCTGCCCTTGGGACAGAGATGCCATCCCCAGGTCGAGTCCCAAAGTACCCCCAGGGCACAATCATACATGTTGCTGTCCAGGCAGGACCAGAAGCTCAGGTGAGAGCTGACTACCGGGCACAGAGAACTGTGGGCAGTGGGTGGAAATGCAGTTTATGTCTTGCCCTCATTTTATAAATAAAGAAACTGTGGCGCACAGTTTAAACTAGTCCCTAGCACTCTGATTCTCCCTCACAAGCTATTTCTATGCTGCCAGGCTTCTGGGAGTTTAGAAGCTGCCTGTGTTTTATGTGTAAAGAGGACAGGTCCTGGTCAGAAAACAATACTTGACTGTATTTATGTTTCTAGATTTCTGTACAGTGACGGTCGTATACATTTACCCAGAAATGATGCTTTGCAGCTTGCCTCTCCGATTATTATTAGAACACAAACATCTCTCCCTGCCACTAATTATTTTTCTAAAATCTCATTTTCATAGCTGTACTGTGTTACATCACTTGGATGCCACACAATTTAATCCCCCATTGTTGGAAATGTAGGTTACCTGCAGCTTGTCACAGTTATAAACAATGCTGTGGTTGGCTGCCCCACAGCTAATTCTTTGCTCTGTTTAATTCTCTCCAATGAGCTTGAAGAAGAGGAACTGCTCAGGTAGTCAGGCAGCTTTGGGTCTCTACTGGTGGGCTGCAATGGGAGTGTTCTTTGAAAATGCAGGGACCCACCCTCATGTGTCCTGGTAAAGATGGGATAAACAAAAACCTGCCCTGCCCCTACTCCAAACATCTCCTAAGAAGACACAGACCGTTGGGAAGGGTCCCCTGCTTCACAGTTCATGGTGGGTGATGGCTCCTCCGGGTCTGGGAAAACCCCTCACCCAGTTACGGGAAGCATTGCCAGTGAACACTCGGTGGTGTTCACACTTGCCTTGCGCCTTGACCCCATGTGGAGAGTGGAGAGAGGAGAACTCCTTGGGCAGGACCTGTTCCGCGCAGAGCCTCATTCTTCAGCCTCAGGGAAATGTGGAGTCTGGAGGAAGTCGGAGGAAGTTGATGGGGAGAAGGAAGCACAGGCAGGAAAGCGGGAGGGGGTGGGACTACAGAGGCCAGCTCTTCCTCTCCTCCGGTCTGCTCGATCACGGAGAGAAACGTCAGGTGTTACTAGGACCTGGTCAGGGAATTGCTGCCTACCTTAAAATGGAGACCACCACCAACTCCCCAAGCGGGGGGCCTGCTACAGGGTGGAGAGCAGCTGACACAGCCACCCCAAGCCTGACTGTAGAAGGGAGCCCAGAAAGCGGGGTAACTGGCCCTGCTCAGTAGCAAGGGGGAGCCTGGTCATGGTTGAAACGCTTGGTGCTGAAGCCGGAGCTGGAGGGGCAGGCGCATGGCTGGCGAGGCCGGGCTCTCCTCCTGGCCTGGCTCCATCCATGCCAGGGGCCTTGGTGCAGCAACTTGAAAGGATCTTCAGTCTGTTCAGGAGCTGGGGAGCCTGCTTGCCCTGCAGCTGGAAAGAAACTTGAATCATGGAATTCTCTCTCCTTTCTCTCTGAAGTTTGATTTCTACTCTCCTCCTTTTGATGTTATTTTTAAGAGCCCTACAATCCCTCTGGGGGAATCTCCAGGCCAGGTCGATGGCGGCTCCTTCTCTTCCCACCTGCAGAGTGTGTGTGTGTGTGTGTGTGTGTGTGTGGTGGGGGCGGCTGAGACCTCACCAAAAGCCAAACTCCTTTCTGACTCTCCAGGACTTTCTGTTCTGGCAACTCCAGAAAATGTGACATTGCTTCTGAAGATCAATACATGAAGCTTCTGATCCCATGGAGGACGAGGGCTGTTAACCAGTGAATGAAGGACTGTGGTGGAACAGAGGAGGAACACAGAGAGGATAAGAAGAAAAAGTCAGAGCAAATGAGAGAAAGATACACAGAGACAGCGATACACAGACAAGAGACAGAGAGACGGTGGAAGAGAAGAGCGGGGAAGAGAGTCTAAGGGAGTGCGGAGTGCCTTGTGGGCAGACCAGTACAGGAAGAAGAGTTACAGTCAGGAGTGGGCGGGGATGAATACAGGCACAGAGAATGGAACGAACATGTGAGTGAGAGAAGGAAAGAAAGAAAGAAAGAAAGAAAAAAGAAAAAAGAAAGAAAGAAAGAAAGAAAGAAGAAAGAAAGAAAGAAAGAAAGAAAGAAAGAAAGAAAGAAAGAAAGAAAGAAAGAAAAGGTAAAGGTGGGAGAAGTAAGAAGGCAAGAAAAATATGGTAAGGGAAAGAAACATGAGCAAAAGAGGCAGAATGAAGAAAATTGGGACCGGGTGAAGATTTTGAGGGAAAGAAACCGAGGAGAGCAGACATAGGAGCCGAGTCATTTTTACTATCAGCCCTAATAAGTCCCAGCAGGTCATTAGTGGGAACCAAGGCAGAGGGTGGGGAGAGGAGGGAGGGCCCGCCCTCCTGGAGCTGCGGGCAGGTGGCCTCCCCTGGGTGGGGCTGCCCAGTACAGCCGCAGGGTATAAGTTGGAGGCTGGGGCCTGCTGAGCACCTGTCAGGGGCAGCTCCAGAGCACAGGTGCCAGGCTGGTGGCTCTGCCTCACCCAGCCCCAGCATGAGCTCCTACGACCTCCCCGCACCCTCCCCGCCTCGCTGCAGCCCCCAGTTCCCCAGCATCGGCCAGGAGCCCCCCGAGATGAACCTTTACTATGAGAACTTCTTCCACCCACAGGGTGTGCCCAGCCCTCAGCGGCCCCCCTCCTTCGAGGGAGGTGGCGAGTACGGGGCCACCCCCAACCCCTACCTCTGGCTCAGTGGGCCAGCCATGACCCCGCCGCCCTACCTGCCGGGCACCAACACCAGCCCCTTCCTGCCCCAGGCCTACGGCATGCAGAGGCAGCTGCTGCCCAGTATGTCCGGGCTGGGGGGCAGTGACCTGGGTTGGCTGCCCATCCCCTCGCAGGAGGAGCTGATGAAGCTGGTGCGCCCTCCCTACTCTTACTCGGCTCTTATTGCCATGGCCATCCATGGGGCACCTGACAAGCGCCTCACCCTCAGCCAGATCTACCAGTATGTGGCTGACAACTTCCCCTTCTACAACAAGAGCAAGGCCGGCTGGCAGAACTCCATCCGCCACAATCTGTCCCTCAACGACTGCTTTAAGAAGGTTCCTCGAGATGAGGACGACCCAGGTAAGGGGGCTGCCAGGGCAGGGCGGGGCCTCCTTCAGCAAGGCTCGTTTCATTCCTGCCCCATACCCCATCCTAGGAAGCTCTGGTTGTGGCTGTTCCTCAGCCCCCCAGGACGGAGGCTGCTCGGAGACAGAGCTGAAGGGATGTGGCGGAGAACATGGGCCTGGGGCAGATTTGGGTTTCAATGGGTTCCAGCCAGAGACCTTGGTCAGGTTTAGATCTCTGAGCCTCAGCTTCTTCATCTGACAAATAGGGACATCACCATCTAAATAGTCTACCTTGCAGGCTCGTGGTGGAGATACTATATGCAACGCCTTTAGTACTAGCAAAGATTCAATGGGTTCCATTTGGTATTATTATTCATGTACATTTCCAAGACCCAGTGCATGGGAAAACTTCCCCTGATGAGAATGGTCCAACCGAAGCCCTAGTGCGTCCCACCAAGGGAGAGGTTCTGACCTTTGGTGAACACGCATCCTATCTTCAGAACCTCCTTTAATCACAACAGGAGTGCCTTTATGAACCCATTTCGCAGACAAGGAAACCAGTACAGAGAGGTGGAACAGCCTACCTAGCTTAGGTGACACAGAGTGAGGTGCTAGCAATGGTATTGGATTGTGAAAGCAGGTCAAACCCAGAGAATGTGAACTTTTCCTTTGCAATGACAAATACCTAAAGTACGGAGGTCTGTGAGACCAGTGTGGTAAATATTCATGAATCCTTTTCCCAGAATTAAAGCCCATCCTTGCTGTGCCATAGGATGCCAGAGCAGCCAAAAGGAGCCTCATTTTTGCCCCATTTGATGTCATCAATGGCCAGGTCTATGTGTGGCTAAGAAGAGAGCAATGCCTATTCAAGAACTGCCCTTGCCCTCCAGCTGAGAGTGGGTAGCAGAAAATATCTGCCTTCCCTCCCCTGACACCTCCTAGTTACAAAGCCCTCTTCCACCGCTGGCGTCTGTGCTTCCCCACAGGGAGCCCGAGGAGGGATGCACACAGGTCCAGCAGGCTCACTTGTCAGACTAGGAAAGTGAGATTCACTCAGAGTCCTTTGGTAGTCAGGAGCAAAGCCAGGGCTCAATCCCATCTTTGGACTCAAGCCCAGGATTACTATCCAGCAGTCCTGATTTTTTCCTGGGTTTTCTTCAACCTCAGCAATGGAAGCATTCCTCCACTGCCTCACCCCACTAGGGCATCCCCACCCCGCCCCCAGGGTTTCAGCCTTCTGAAAGGGACTGCCTGTAAGTCTTGCATGCCTGTGCCTCTCCTTCCTTGTGGGCATCCCCCTCCTCCACCACCTGGGGGGTGCTTAAGTGAAGATGGATACAGTGCGGTTGTGCGGGTGATTGGGTGGTAGAATTCTTCCACTTCTCAGATCCAGGCTTTTACTCTTCTCTTCTCTCTCTACCCTTGTCACCTTTGTTTTAACTTGCAACAGTAAAAAGGAAGAGAAGAAGAGAGGGGTTTGGTCCACCTCTCTGTGTCCTCACCTCCTCGCACTTTCTTTGCAGGCAAAGGGAACTATTGGACCCTGGATCCCAACTGCGAGAAGATGTTTGACAATGGAAATTTCCGCAGGAAGAGGAAGAGAAAATCGGACGTTTCTTCCAGCACAGGCTCTTTGGCCTCAGAGAAAACCGATAGCAATCTCCTGGCAGGCAGCCCCAAGAGCACGGAGTCACAAGACATCCTGGACAGTGGCTCACCGGCCACCTCCAGCTCCCCAGAGAAGCAGTCCTCCCCACCCTCCTCAGGCACTCCATGCCTCAACAGCTTCCTGTCCACCATGACGGCCTACGTGAGTGGGTCGAGTCCAGTGGGCCGCCCCGTGGGCACGCCGGGACTGAGCCCCGAGCCCTCTGACAAGCTGGGGCAGGGCAGTCTGAGTTTCAACTCCTACACCCCACTCACCAACCTCACAGGCCATGGGAGCGGCAGCGAATGGGCCAGTTCAGTGCCCACCAATGCCCTTGGCTATGGCAGTTCTGTCCTCAACCAGTTCAGCCCTCACTTCTACAACAGTGTGAACACCAACAGTGTCCTCTACCCCAGGGAGGGCACGGAGGTCTAGGACCCAAACAGCTCCTGGGCCACATGGACATGATGCAGAGAGACACAGCCAAGTCCCCTAGACCAGCCCCACACCACCCTGTGAGCCAGGAGCTCAGAACTGCCCATGCATAACACAGGAGACTCAAGAGGAAGCGTTCTCTTTCTAAAACATTGTTCAAACTTTCTGTTCATCGCACCCAAGTCCATGCAAAGACTTACCAGCTTTGCAGTGGTAATACCGGTGCCTGGATAGCAGTCATAAAGGTGGCAATTTTTTGAGCACTTGTTCTGTGCTGGGTGCTGCGGTAGGCTCTTTACAGGCATAGTCGCATTTGCTATTTAAAGTCACCCTGTGGGAGTCACATCAACCTCCTCGTTAACAGAAGGGAAATAGAGCTTGAGGAAGTTAAGAAACTTTTCCAGAGTCTTACAAGCTAACAAATGCCAGAGCTACAGGTCAAATGTGAGTCTGGGTAACCCCAAAGATCAAACCAAACGAAGCAGGGATAGAGGATTGGCTGAGCGGCTAAGGAATGTCAGGGTGAGAGGCTGATTTTGGCAGATACGTCAAAACTTCTCCCCTGCCCTCTGGTTGTTCCTCAAACTCCAACGCCAGCCAGGCCTGTCTTGTTCTGGTCTGTCTTTATTCTGTTTGCCCCAACTTTCCTGCAGATACTCATCTGGCTACCATTCAAGGAGAGAAATGACTTGCCAGCAGACTTAACTTAGAAAGTACAGCCCAGGTGCCCTGCAGGACAGTAGAGCTGGCAAGTACGATGGAGTGCATCCCTGTTCCAGCTCCCCACAGATCCTGAGAAGACCCAGGGTCAGTGAGAGGAGTGGTGTACCCTCAGTGCCCCACCCCAGGCTGCCCTTCTGCAAAAGCTCATAAAGCCCAGCTTCCTGTGTATGTGTGTGTGTCATGGACCAGTGAGTTGGCAGTGGCTGAGGTTTCCAAGAGAAACAAGGCGGAATGAGCACTTCCTTCTCTATAGCTCTGGAGAGCTGGATGTTTGAGAAACAACAGCCTCAAAGGAAAATCCTCAGCCTCCCTCACAGGGTCTGTGAGTGCAGCTCCTGGGAATTCTCCTTCTCATTTTTATAGATACTTTATATGCCTGTGATATTTTATCACAGCACATCTTAGGAAGAGTTGTTTGATTTCTTATTTTCTTTTTAATAAAAAAAAAAAAAACACAAACTCTTTGCAGAAGTGTGTGGGCCTTCCCTGTGACTCGTCCTGTCTCTGACTGCTTGGTTGATTCAACATATGGTCAAGGAATAGCTGGGGACTAAAGGCATTTGGGACAGGAGCAGAGAAATCATGGGTATCAAGGCTCTTTCCCTGCTCTTCAGTGGAGAGAGATCAGACAAAGACATTCAACATAAAGACAGGTATCCACGGGGTAGTGTAGGTCTATGGAAGGAACTTACCTGAACTGAATACTTAATTGGATCAGACATATCCCAGTCTTTATACTTCATGCAAAGTTTAAAACTATACTATGGTTATTCAGTCCTCCCCAGCACTGTAAAAGGGGCAGCACCAGTCTTGTTACACAGATGAGAAAACTGAGGTTCTAGTGGCTGAGTGGCTTGCCTGAAGTATACATCCACTCCACACCTGAGTCTTTCTGACTCCTGCATTTCACATGCAACTAACCCTGGTAGCAGTTGCTTTTGGGGCTGTGCAGTTATGATAGTACGTACAAGGGATTTCCTAGGGTCCCAGGCACAATGAACGCAGAAGGGTGTGTAAGTCAGAGCTGGAGGGCTTCTAGTTGGGGGTCGTTCTCCTTGGGTGCGTATAGAGAGGTGGATGCTCATGCCAGGGGGAGGGAGAAGGAGCGGATCTCTCTTTCCATAGAATGACAGAGGGCAGTATTAACTACAAACAATGATGATGATGATGATGATGATGGCAATAGTAGCATCGTCATGGGGTTCCTAGGTGCTGGGCACTGTATTAGGACTGAATCTACTTTATTGCATTTCATTGTCAAAATAGTCCAGTGCAATCAATGCCCTCATTTACATTTCATAGGTGAGAAGACTGAGGCCTGGAGAGATTCTGTAGCTAGTTAATTAAGGACACAAATTAGGAGCCATATAGATCCATTGATGCCATGGCTGAAACCCTTCTTCAGAGCCCCTAGCAGTGGAGAACCCAGGACTTAACACAGGGGTAAAAATTATGAAAACCAGGACAAAGTGGAGACTACCAGGTGATTTCCTGGGGACTCCCTTTTCACAGCAAGACTCCCACTGGCAGGGAGAGTGATGGCTGAGAGAAGAACAAGAAAAAGACATTCCCTGACCAGGAAAAGCCTCAGGAAATTCAGAACACGCTGACCCCTGGCTGTGCAGGGAGGAATCCCGAGGCTTAGAGGGAAATAAACTCCACAGGTGCGGCAATGGGGTCACAGGCAGAGTGAAAATGTACATCGCTGAAGCCCAGACCAGGATTTCTGTCACACTAGATCACACTGCCACCAAATTTGCCCAAATAGACCCTGAAAGCCCTCCCTCTCCACTGCTAATCTCACTGCCCACCTTCAACCCTACTCCTCCCTCCAGACTGGGTGAGGAACAGAGTGTAAAGGGGCCCAAAGAGAGCTCAAATCAGCCTGGAAGGGAGCTAGAGGTTTAGAACCACCTTCCGCAGCCTCAAGTCTCCATTCTTCTTGGCCCAGAATTTAATGGGCACAGGTAATTAAAGGGAAGCCTGCAGGGCTCCGACAACACAGCGCTCCTGCCAGCTCTAGCCAGCAACTGCATGCAGGGAGTTCCTGGTAGCAGCGCCAGGAGCTCATGGGTACAGCAGTGCTGGAAGCACCCAGGTGGGCACAGGAGAAGGTGGGGAGCAGGCCAAGGAGGAGCCCACTTCTGTGGACAGCTGCTAGCTAGAGAGAGGGAAGGAAAGAAAAACGGATGGGGCTGGGGATGTAGCTCAGCCGCACAATGCCTGCTTGGTAATTGTGAACCCCTGAGTTAGATTCCTGGTACCAAAAATAAAAACCAAAAACAGAGGGATGGCAGAAGGGAAAGAGAAAAGAAGAACTGGTTTACTAGCAAGCGTTTAATTCTATGTGCAGTATTATGGGTGCACAGGAATTTATCTGCCTCTGCATTGAAGCCAGGTCCCCAACATCAATAAAGAGTCTGCGACGAGGACTTGCTGTGGTTTGGGAAGACCAGGAAGGCTACAGGAGGGTGACAGGTGGGACTGTGGCTGAAGAGTGATAGAAATGAATTAGTGCAAACCACTGGTTTACACACTCACCTCCCACCACTTCACTCTAATCCCCCACAAATCCTGCATTTTAATGTTTCAGCTTCCAAGTTGTATGCAGGTTGGGGCGTATGCTTCAAACCAGAATACATTATACATTATATAGTTTATATTATAATAATTTCATTAATTTTAACAGATACATTTGCAAGGAGAAAAGTCAAGAAATGCTATACCCAAGCTACCATATTAACAATTATTCTCTGGTGGGTGATGGAAAATGAGTCATTTTTTATCTTGGTCATTATCATTCTCTTCATGTCTAGTGACTATATCATCAGCCATACCCACTATTGCTAGAATCCACCTCCTTCACTGCTGGAGCCCAAGAGGCCTGCCAGGTTGGTACGTGACACTACGTATGCCATGGCTTATCTTTCCTATGCTGGGTAACACCTGACCCAAGCAGAGCTCTTTCTACCACAATGGAGGAACGGGTTCCCATCACACAGACTTGACGTTTTGGAGGCCACCATCGGGGCCACATTCAAAGGAAAAGGAAGAAATATGAGGCTAGCATACCTAAAAGGTGAGTTTAAAAAAAAAAAAAAAAAAAGGAAGAAATATGAGGCTAGCATACCTAAAAGGTGAGTTTAAAAAAAAAAAAAAGTAAATGCTCTATTTGCTAAAAAGCCAATGGCAAGCAGGAAGGAATCTGATAGAGTTTTAGGATAGTTGCATCTGGCCTTGGCATGGCTGGTGGTTGCAACACAGTGATTCCAGCAACAGATTGGAAAGGAAGGAGAGATGAAGGAGAAAGAGGTGAGAATCTAGGGCTGGGGATATAGCTTAATGGTATAAGCGCTTGCCTGGCAAGCCTGAGGTCATGAGTTCAATTCCTGGCACCAAAAAAATAAAAAAAAAATAGAAAAAAAAACCCATGAGGTGAGAATCTAAAGAACTGTCAGTCGTTATGGGGCACCAGCTGTTCACTAGGAGCTGGACATGAAAGCATGCAGCTGTCTCGTGTAATTACAGCACCCCTGGATAGTGGATGCTTTTATGTGGTCTATTTGCCCTGTGAAGAAACTGCAGCACACACAGGTTTAGGAAACCCATAAAGATCTTAGACAATGGCCTTTATGATCGAGATCTCCAGATCTCTTAATACCCTGGTAAAGGGAACTGGGAGGCTCCATGGCAAACAAGCCAGAAAGAATCTTCTCCCTAGAGAGGATATGGGACCAGTGCACGCAGATCAGGAGGGCCCAGATTGGCCAACACGTCACTGGATGTCCACGCAGAAGGCTTAGCCCAACTGTCCGCCTGACACAGACTATACTCGCTGGCCCTTGACCCCCTGTACCCCTGAAGGAGAGAACCCAAGCTGCTGTCTCTGCTAACCTGCCTGATTTTCTCATGTAGGCTGCCCTGAAAGTACAGTGAGACTGGCTTTTGTCTCTGGCCTCCTCAGCCCAGCACTTCCTTTCAGGTTCAAAGAGCAAAACTACTGCAATATGGCAGGTACTGTGTGTGCACATTTTCCTGTGGATCCCCAAAGAACTACTTGGACATCTGACTCTTCACAGGAGCCATCCAAAGACCTCAAAAAGAAGACAAAAATGTAGTCATGAAAGTAGTACAACTGTTTAGGGAATGTTCCTCCCCTTTTTTAGGTCAAGCAGATGTTGCGTGTGTAACATTGAACACCTAATGAGTGTTTGCACGAACTAAGTACTTTTGTAATGAGTTAATAATCCCAACCACCACTAAGGCTAGGGCTACCATTATTTTCACTTGCTACAGAGATGAACATTTCTCAGTGAAGTTAACTAACTGTTGCAAGGTCTCAGAGCTAGTGAGTATCAGAGAGAAACCTCAACCACAAGTACGCCTGGCTCCAGAGCCCATGCTTTTAATCTACCTGCTAAGAGAGGCCTTCAGAAAGATGCTGCTTCAGCCCAGGCCACTATAATCTCCCTCCACGTCATTCCTCATCAACAAAAACCTCCATACAGGGCTCCCTGCCTCTGCTGCCCCCTCCCATTGCAGAACATGTGTTTGCTAAGGACCAAAGTTGGTTGTGCTCTGTACTCTTCATTGGCCCAGTGTCTTTTAGGTCCTCAGTAATTTTCATGGCTCATAAAGTCCTTGCTGTGTCTTCATCCCTCTGATTAAAACTTTGGGCCTCGAATTAGACCAAATGTATTCAGATCCTCTCTGCCTGTCCTGGGGAATCCACATAAGCAGGCGGCTAGCTCAAGATATTTTTCATACATGTATTTTCTTACAGGTTTCCAAGGATGTTGTTATATTCCTCATATAATTTTAAAAAATTTAAAGCAGGATAGTGACAAAATAAATAACTAGAAGCTTGACACCAAAATGTAGAGGTGGAATAATGAAATGAGATCTTGGAAGAAGCATTCCTTAGATAAGGGAATCATACCGGAAAGTCAATATTGTGATTAGTCTCAGTGGGGTGGTCAGTGATTGGTAAAAATGGTGTGAGAGGTCTATTCAGGTGCTAGCAATAGTCTATCAATTGACCTAAGTGCTGATCCTACAGATATGTTCATTTCAGGAAAGTTATTGAGCATAGAAATTATACTTGTGATTTCAGCACTTTTGTGTATGTACATTTTATAGCAATTGTATACAGGTAAATATTTAACAGCTGTCTCTCTGGAGAGACAAAGGGGAGCCCACTTACGTATCTGCCCATTTTGCTACTGTAAATACTCCTTTCATGATGGATTCTGAGCCGCCCACACTCTGTGAGGGCAGGGTTGGGGAGAGATGTGCTACCACACAGCATTCAACATGACCTCCGCCACACAGACAGAACAGATGTAACACTCAGAACATTGCTAACAGCAAAATGGAGTAAACTAATTGGGGAAGGATGAGTTGTACTTATCATCTTAATTTATAAAATTTTATTTTACTGTAAGTTTTTAATTTTTAATCATGGCT